CATGGCCACTACAGATACTCTATTGTGTGTCCCTTGCTGCTTTCGTAGTGAGTCACTGGTTTCCAACGGCTTGATAGTTTCTGTTGCTTCATCATACTTGTACACAGTGTTGTCAATTTTAATTTTGTCATTAAGTAGTTTTGCTGATTTGCCTTCTTCCCTGGCCTCCATAACATATTTTCCAAGTTTCCCACGCAGGTTCCTAATTCTGGGGGTATAATCCTCGCGTATCCAATATTTCGTACCCTTTAGCACACTCGATGCTCGAAGGACTTTTTCTCGTTGCTTATATCGAAGAAATCTTGCAACTACAGGTTGTGGACGACTACGTACAACATTAATGAGTAAAACATGATTGTTTGATGAATGTTTGACTGGACGCTTTACACGTTTTAATAGTTGAACGCATCTGAAACCCTGGACCGTTGTTTTGATTAACTGTCACGTAGGCGTGTATGTAACTTTATTGTGTCTACAACGATCACTGGAGTGTCTAGGAAAGTGTCTGGGGATGTTGCAAAGTCCCTCGGTAATTACCTACCGGGCGCGGGAGTTAGGTGTATGTAAATATCTTGCGCTCGCTGTAAACAATGAATCGTCAACAGAAACCATATTACGGGCGTATACCCCCAGCTGCCGAATGGTAAACACATAATACGTATACTGTAGTAAGCATTTGCAAGACTATTTACCCCCCCCCCCTTTGAGAGCCGAGACCTAGAAACTACGTCATCCGTCAATGGCCAGCAGATATTGGTGGATAACATACTAGTACGCCTAACTATATAACAGAGGCATAAGCAATTTTAATTGGAGTTGGAAGTTGAAACCAGGCTCCTTGTCCGACTGACTATTAATAAAGTGGTTTCTTCAAGTGTATTTGGGTCAAACCCAGTATCTCTACAGCGTAAGAGATATCCGCCAAGAACGTTGAAATTCCCTGAACACAACTCTCCTGTCGTGGTACATAGTGGAGAGTTAAAGCGGAAGGGTTGACCCCTGCGCACGCGCGGGAATTGAGTCCCAAGCGACGATAACAACACACGCTAAAAACGCAAAGGCTCATGGGTAGACGCTTGATTTTAACAATGGCACGCTATGGCCAACTGACGCATGCGCAGGTGACGACTCACCCACTTTAAGTCCCTACTCTTCGCTCCTACTCATACATATGGTGAAGACCCGAAATACTTCTACACTCCCAACCGCATCACTGGTCCCACAGTACGGGGAATCGAATTAGATAATCTATGAACTCGAAGAACGACAATCGCATTTTGTTTTTTATCTATATAGAATTTTTATATTATGTGTATAAGTGGATTTTGCAGTCCATCAGTAGGCAACACCCATGCTGGAATTGTTGCATATACAACGGTGTCACATACACAGCATAGGTAAATAACATAGTAAGTGACGCGTGAGTTATTCACTGTGCTGCGAGAATAGAAATATACAATACACCATAACCTGCATAATCTGTATGTGTATTCATGAGTGGATGGATGAATGTGGATAACTGATGAACACATTAGCATGGGCCTGAATTGTCTTCATGTGTTGGCAGTCAGTGAAACTTCAGGAAGCTGGAATATTTTTTTTTTACCTACTACTTATCTCGAAGCTCTTACGTAACCAAGGCTCGTTATCATCAGTTTATTTGGCGTTTACGTCATAGATTCACAAATTTCGAATTTATACAAATTCTACAGAGATCACGATAAATATTTCTGATCGTGCTCCTTATTAGTGTGATTCGTGCCATCTGATGGCAAAATGTATTCGTTATCTGATTGCAAACATACATATTCTGCATATGGGCCAATTTTTCAGAATAAATTTTGTATAAATTAAAGTTTTGCAGAATCTCTGAATTATAAAGCAAAATAAGGACACATTTTGGAACATATTTGACGAATCTGGGAAACAATTTTTACTTTGTTAAAGCTATTACTCTTTTTGTTCTATATTTTTAATTCCAGCTATTATATCTATATTACGTGCAGTACCTAAATATTTGTTAGAGGTGACGCCCTCTATCGACGAAGCACGTATACCGAGTCTGCCCTCCATTCTCACTGTTTGTTCTGGGCACAAACAACATCAGGCTTTCAGATAAAAGACCCCCATAAATGCAGGGAATGCAATTTACAGTTGTTATAATCACTTTTCATTCTATAGATATTTCATCAGAAATAATTAGTCCACAAGCTCGATTCTCCAGTAAAAGATAACCCAGATATTTCATTTAATAATACTCATATAATTTATTGATAGTAAGTTTGTAACTGCGTAATTGACAGATTTTTTGATTGTTCTCAAATGATTCAAGTGGCGTCCTTCCTCAAATTTCATAGTGGGATTTTTTTTAGTAGTAACACCTCGGACTCGAATCAACATGATCACTCAACTAAATGAGCTAAGTAGATGCCCAGTAGGCAGATAACGCATTCAATGACTCTTTTCGTCAATGCATCTTTGTTATTGTTTGACATCTGTTGTTGGACCCCGTTTTTTATATAATTCGTACGATCGCAAGCTTCTTTCGTCAAATATAGGTATATATATTTATTTGCTTTCAGTTAAGCCTAATTTCACAACAAATTTACTTTCTGGATTAAAATTACAGTGGATAACAAAATATAGATTAACTTTGTAAACGACATAAACAATAGTGTCCCATGATTCTTTGATGCAATCCCTGGGTTTAAAAGGTTCCCCTTTAAGTAGTTTTCGTTGATGTCGTCTATTATTGAAACAGACAAACACGGAATAGCATGGAAATCCATTTGTTAGTGGTGTTACCGGGCTTTGTCTTTGTAACTAGTATTCAATTTCACCCGCCAACGCTACTTCGCGGAGATCGTATTTTAGTGATTGCGTGTTGGGTCACTGACTGTGTATAGGTGTACAGTATAATACCACCAGAAGATTGATTATTTGATAATATTTTACTCTCGGGGAAATAAAATTAAATGAGAGACTTTTACTTCATATTGAATCGATCTTCAAATATTTTATTAATTCCTAGACTCCATTGGCATACTATAACTGCAAAGGGCGGAGAATAAAACTGAATCCGCTGAATTTAATGAACATGCAAAGAAATAATAGCAATAACAATGACAATAAATAGTTTTTCAATAATTCATAAACTCACCAAAAAAAATGGTTTAACAATATTTTTCGATTTAGTGTATGACATTGCAAATTCAGTGGCGCAGTTTCACCAAGGGAGAAAATCAATCTTGAGACTGCCTTCGACCTCGAGATGGGCTTCTTTAAAGTATTCCTTTTGCGAAAGCCGGAAACAGTCGACTGCGGCAGGAGAGGGCGTGACTACAACTCAGATTTCTTTTCAATTTTACTCGACAATTTTTTTTTCACAAATGACCATATCAGAGCAACAGAAATCAAACACATAAATGTGTAGGTGGGGCAATTCAGTCTCTTTAATTATTTGCTGTACCAATTATTGATTATTTTTTATTTGATAATTATAAATTGTATTATATCAATAAATTAGTTCCGTTTTGTCGTATGGTTTACACGTTACCATGGAAACTCGCTTCAGATAAATTGAAGTGAAAACGTTGACTAACCTCACATAAGAACTATCCGATAATATGCAAATTAATTAACGATATGCAAATACATGTAAATACAAAAATAAATGTAATATATATTATAATGTAGAAATGTTAATATGCAAATGAAGATAATTTGCGCAACATGACACGCAATTCACGTTGGTTGAGGTTTCCATAATTGGCACTTCAGGCTTACGTCATTTAAAAAATTATACAATTTTTGGCAACACATCAATTTGGAAATAGTGCCTTTTTTCATCCCATGCCTTAGAAAGGGACATTTCCAATTAAATTAGGGGGCTGGGCGAGGGGTGCAAAAGGAACTCCTCCACTTTCGGATGATTTTCTAATTTATTTAAAATGCAAGCACAGTCTAATACTGGTAAATCGCGAGGGCAACACAGTAAGTTACCTAAGGGGAGAGGAATAATATTGTGTTCTGTGAAACACTGGAGACCAATGACAGTTACTCAAGGGTCTCTCCCACAATTAAAATCCTACCTGCTTGTAAATTACATTGTGGCGGGGGTGTATTTGGGTTCAAAGTTCTAAAAGGAATCCCTCATCCAGCACCTGCTAAACTTCAAAGTCACACCATTGTTCTTGATAGGGATGCAGCCAAATTAACACGACCATTTGAAATTTGCTCCTAATCTAAATGTACACAGAATAGTGTATTTACTTTGTTCAGCTAATCTTTATTTACAAATTAATCATAAAGCAGTTGCTCACGCCATTTCAGAACACGCGCCAATCCAAATGTGATGATATTGGCAAGGTTCGGTTCCAAACCCTCGTGTCCGTCTTCAGTCGTTAGAGGAGATAGTCGAATCACACTCGAGCCACAACTCCAGACCCATCACAATACTTTCAAATTCACTGTAAATAATTTATTCGATAATATTCTACTAATAAACATAACATTTCAAGAATAATTCTCATTAATTTTCCACTTTCCAGTCTCTAAACTTGGGATGTCTTCGATTGTTTTGCTTCTCTGGTTTACGTGCAGATACTGCATGTTTACGTTCTTCTTTCCTCTGTTCCAACGTACGTCGACGCTCGGCAGCAAGCTTGGCGTGGCTATTTGCCTCCTTCACTAGAGATTTCATTTGGCTTCTGAAGTATTGCTTCACGTTTTCCAATTTTAGAGCTTTCTCTTCAGGAGAGAGCTCGGAATTTCTAATTTCCATCATCTTCTCCTCTTTATGTCTCGGCAATTTACGTCCTTCCACTACAATCTTGGGACTGCCTTCGACATCGGGATGGGCTTTCAAATGTTCTTTTCTGCGATTTTCCAGTTCCGATTTGCTTTTATGCGACAGGTGATGTAGCTCTCTCTCGACAGGTTTATTCGTCTGTTGATGAAAGGTGCATAGATTTATTAGAAGATTACAAATCCCATTCGACAAACAAGTGGCAAAGATTCGTGAATTGCTTGTACCAATGAAAAAAAAACGATTATTGAGCGATATTAGGACAGTTTACCAAGATGAACACCAGAACCAGAACTACGTTACGAATAAAAAAAAAATCACTTACTCCGGTTTTCTCGTCTTCCCTGTCAACATCTTCAGTCACAGCAGCGCCAATGACGGCAAACAGGAATACAACTACGTGGAGTTTCATTGTTGCGTTGAGAACACTTCGAAAAGCTTACATGCAGTCGACGATTTTAGAACAACAATAGGCAAACACGAGGATTTATATGCAACAGCACGTTGAACAAGACCATTTCATGTCGTAGCAAGCACTCATTGGTGCATTACATACGCAGAATGTGTATACTGACCAATCAGATAACGAATACATTGCGACTCACAGCAGATGTGGTGAAACCTGCACTCATTGGCTAGCCAATCAGAACGCTTCTTTACTGGATTTAGTGCCAGGTTCTAACTTGTAATACAATTGGTTTATTACATTCTCTAATTCACCCGTTGTTCAATCAAAGCAGACAACACGGATATTGCAGAAGTAGGATTGCCATACCGGCATCACTTATCTTCATTGGATATGTTGAAAACAAATAGACCATTGTATTTAATCTGTGGGGGAGATGCAGAGTACACGGCTGGTACTCTGGTCTTAAATAAGCTTATCATATATTTTGATAGTAAGCAATATGTAATGCAATTTATCTGGAATATTGAAAAATTACGCGAGATGTTACCAGATGTGTTAAAATCCCGCCGATTGGGGGCGCCATATCATCCTACTCGTGCAAAAGTCAAAATATGAATTATTCATTAATACCGAAAGAAAATCCAAAGGATAAAAACTGTGGTACTCATCAACGCTATTTTTGGATGACCTGCATCAGTTTAAAAAACTGAAATTCAACATCAGTCGCGATAAGAAAACATTCAGTACACTAGCGAAATACTTCCTCCAGAAGGCAATTGGGTGTATCCCAGGCTAGTGAGTGTGCGAGATCACCAGCGTACAATCAAATCGATACATGTGCATACATGAAATGGCTCTGTAAAGCGTTCTCTGATTTGACAACATTAGCAAAATCGGCCGAGACACCCAGTATACTGTCCAATGGCACGACGCGTGACAAATGAGCTAAAACTAAAAAGTGAACCGGCACAATAAACGCAATGACGCAATGGTTCTCTATCATAAACCATTTTTAACAGTCGAATCTCCCTCTAGCGACAACAGGCTTTTATGACACTTGTATAAATGGGCGACACAAAGGCCGTTCCAATCGTCGATATCGTTTTGATCTAGTCCATCGATGAAGATCCATTTTGAGAGTTGGTAATATAAGATGAACGACTACACAAACAGTGGTTGATTTAAACAACATTGCCTTCATCATAGTTGTCATTATTGGCGCAATTTATAGGAATAGTGTTGTCGGGCATCTTTTTTGGGCGGTTTTGTGACATCTGTATAAGATGCGCATACGAGAACGGAACGAGAACGGATACGTCACTGCTTTGTGCATGTTCTCCGCGCGAACTAATGACGTCATCGGTTGCCTGGTCGTACGGCAGTCGTTTTGAACGTGATAAAGGTGACTGACTCGTAGTTGATTTCCGAAAGCTTTTCTCGCTGTCAATTTTGATTAATTTTCACTGACATTGATACAACGT